TCGTTTTATGACAGTTTACCTTTGATGCAAGTGAATATACGAAATATCATTTATCTGAACTGTGGAGAAAGATATGAAGACATGATTGATCATCGCAATAGCCCTTTTCACGGTTACCTTTGCCCATTTGTACACACAACTTAAGCAGTCGTGAAATTAAAGCCTGAGAAAAAATTCAGGCCTGAACGGGACTCGAACCCATGACCTCTGCGATACCGGTGCAGTGCTCTACCGACTGAGGTATCAAGCCAACTGGGAGTTGGTCACATTGTGAGTTCGTAATATACCCGTAGATGGTGAAGAGTGCAAGTGAATATNACGAAATATCATTTATCTGAACTGCGGAGAAAGATATGAAGACATCATTGATCATCGCAATCAAAACCCAACAGCCTGAAAAAAATTCATCTGTGACCAGCTCCCAGTTGGCTTGATATTATGAAAGAATAAAGGAATATCACACCTGGATTAAATAAAACGTTCTGCTTACAGTAGTCACTCTAGTGTAATTTACTCAACAAAATTTTGAATTTTGAATTTTTTTCCTTGATCCGATCCGTGGTCCGATCCGTGATCCGGTCCGATCGAGGTTTTGTCAACGCCGTTTTAGCGCCCAGGTTGTTATGGCCAAGTTATAAACGATATTGGTTCATGCTTTTAGCTGTGCGTATATCAAGTTATGGATGAACTTGGGAAGTTTGGAGAGCACTCAAGAAGCTAGCGTTGCTCTCGGCTATCGCCTTGAGCCACTCTTACGCTTGTTTCGTGCTCTCCAAACTTCCCACTTGCATCCGTAACTCGATATACGCACGCTAAGCATGAACCAATTCTTTACGATTTTTTCGGGAGCTGTTATCGCAATTACCCAAGCCACAGCCTGAATTTTCCTAACTATTGCACCACAGGCATCCCAAACTCACAATTCAAGAAATCGATTAGCCTGCGAGCAGGCTCACGTTGGAGCACAAGCGCCGGATCGCATTGCGGTGTTGTGTTACACTTCAGGCCGTTGAGAATTTGAGCGCTCTACAAGGCATTTAACGAGGGAAATGGGCAACAGAAACCAGGCAAAGTGAGTGTAGAAGAAGAGATTTTCTTAACAATTTAACTATAAAACACTGCAACTTTTTCGTGGGTTCGAGCGCATACTTTATCGACAAATTTAAACAAGTTCCAGTGTATCAGTGCTAATGAAACTTTGGAATAAAATTGTTAACATTATCAGGCATACATGGTTAACGTTTTCTATCGAGCCGTTTTTGAGACTTTCGAAAAAGCGCTTAAAATCGAAAATTGTTCTCAATTTATTGTAGAAATGATGTCGAGAAAAAGTCTCGTTCTAGAGATCAAGAAAATACAAACCAGCAAAACTTTCATGGCTTCAAAACAAAACTTCAAGACACATTTTGGTGTCTTTTGGAGCAATTTCATTAAAATAGCGCTCTTCTTTCAGTCCATTTAAGTTCATTAAACAAAAAGCAGGGTTTGAAATGTTTTCGCGATTTATTCGAACATTATTCTTGCATATTCCCCTTGCCTTACATGGTAATTTCAGAAATCGGCATCAGATTTTCTATAACAGATCTGGTTCGAACAATATTCATGCTTTACCGATTTTCATATTTTTGATTTATCGTTTCCATGGAAATATCGATTACCTTACAACTACACATTCAACCAAACTTCAATCTTTTTCTAAAAACTAGTGTAATTTCTATATCGATCAGAGTAAGGGAAGGTTGGTAAAACGCCAATTGAAAATGCTAGGTATGGTCGAGAAAAAAACTGCATCGAACGACCTTAAGGAATTGAGTCCTGTGTTGAATACACAGGAAGGCTCAATTTGTGCCTAACGTTTTGTTTATAAAACTTTATAAAACTTTAGTGGGTAAAGACTATATATATACAGACTAAATAAGAATATAAATCAATCAATTAATCAATAAAGCCCAAAACGAGAGGGCGCGAACGGGACACTCGGACCCATGCGAGGCGTCCACCCATAAAAAAATAAAAAATAGTAATAATTAAATAAGGTAACTGTGGTGGCACGTGACTCTTTGCATGCAAATATTTTATATTATATAGCACTTTTTATCAATTTTTTATCATTGTTTCCTTGGCATTCGTGTCTCTTAGGAATTCTTAGTTTATAGTTACATTTGTACCCATTTTATTCACTCAGTTGACTTGATAATGACGTTAAGCGAACGTCGAAACGTCGTAGTTGTTTTTAAACCAAATGGTTTTAAGTTTTCCCATATTGTCGCAGTGTTTTTTAGTTAAAAGTGAGTATAGTTCTTTTTTTTTTTATTCAAAGGAAGGTAACATTTTAATTTGTTGCGCGTTTTTATCCATCGTTATTTTAAACTCCATACAATACCTTGTAGAGCTCTCAAATTCTCAACGGCCTTAAGTGTAACACAACATCGCATACTTTAGGTGGTCACGTCTCACTCAATACGAGGGGTGGCGAATGATCCTTCAAAAATTCTGAGTCTCGCAAAATTTTAGTCGAATTTCACGATTTTTATACGAAGCTGTCTCGGAGTCTCGATTTTTCGTAAGGCTAAGGGTTTCAAAGTCCCGATTCTTTCGTTTATCTGTTTTTATAATTGACTTCTTCTCGTCACTTGTTCGAACTAACGTTTGGTCGGGGCGAATCGACTTTGAGTTGGGGCGAAACGACCATAATTCTTAAAATTTCAATGAAGCAACTTCTCCTAAATTGTCTGAATCCCACAAAAAGCTACAAAACCTACCGCAACGTCCGATTCGCGCCAGAAAAGCAGTTATTTTGATCTAGGATATCATAACGTAGTGTGTTATAATCGAATTTCCAGTTTCAGCCGGCTTGAAGAAGCTGCGGGGCTAAAAGGCTCTACAAACTCATTCTAGCTCTCAGCTAAATCTGGGGCTCGAATTTTAAGAGTCTGAACGTCTCGCGCTCGCACTCAAAACACTTTGAAGTCTCGGTCTCATAATTTGAAAAGTCAAAATGCCTCTGATGGCACTCGCATATTTATTGCAAAAGCCTTGCGCACTTTGTTAGCTATTCTATCATCTAGTGAGTGATATTAAGTCCAGTCTGTTTAGCTATCAACAATGATCAGTGTACTGGGGCTAGTAATACCAAAACCAAAACAGAAAGAAGGTAGTTTTCCATTGTGTTATGTTTTGAAAGTAGTGCATAAAGAAAGTTTTTTATTGAAGGCACCTGACAAGTATTTTGTAGACAGTAACCTTACTTTAGAAGAGTTGGAAAGTTCCTCGTAACTTATTATCAAGTTATGATCAGTTATTCCTAGACTAGTTATGAATTCAGTGGAGTGGAGGCGCGTAGTGCGCTCGACTTTGGATCAAGCGGTCCAGGTTCGAGCCCTGGCCTGGGACATTCTGTTGTGTTCTTGGGAAAGACACTTTACTTTCACAGTGCCTCTCTCCACCCAGTAGTATAAATGGGTACTGGCACATTTAATGCTGGGGGTAGCCCTGCGATGGACTAACATCCAGGGGGGAGTAGAAATACTCCTAGTCGCTTCATGCAATGGAAACCGGGATAAGCTCCGGCCTGGTAGGCCACTTGGCTCATATGCAAACTTAGATATGAATTGGAGTGTGATTGATGTTTGAACTGTTAAAAACTACAGGGAAAGAGTTATTTGCTTGCCAGTCAGCAGTAAGAGATTTCAGTGGCATTTTGAAAACAGTTGGTGGTGAGAAAGAACAAGAACGGGCTAGGTATGTGGTGCTAGGTAGTGTATACATGTACCACGTACACTGTGAGTTCATGAAAAAAATAACATGCAGTGCAATAGTGATTTTAAGTCAATGTACCTATACACTGTACTGTGCTCATCTAAATTTTAGGTTTCTTTTTTAGGAGGCAACGTGGCCGAGTGGTCTAGGGCGCTGGTGTTGTAATCTGAAGGTCCCTCCACCCTGCCACTGGCGGGATTTGTTTCTCGGTAGTCCCGAGTTCAAATCCTCGGTCACGCTTTGTAAATAGCCAACTGGTCTTCCTCCAGCCAGTTGGGATTTTTAACTATGTTACGTTTATTTGAAATATTTGTTTCCTTTGTTTCAGTGGCATGCCTGTAAACTAGTTAAGCTTAGGGCTTGTATAGCTAAGTGCATGACCACTATAATATGATTTACATTACATTTTACACTACATTAGGGCCCTGCTCGAGAGAGTCACAATTGTCGAAGATAATCCATCAGTTAGATCCACAAACATGAAAATAAGTGCAAGTATCAAGGAACGGTCAAAGGTATATGTACGAAGTTGTTATCTGCTCAGTCTGTTACTGATTAACTTCAATAAATCAATGGGAAACTGAGTTCTGGGTTTTACTCTTAATAGAATAGTGTGATTGAGTTACTACTGGAAGTTTCTCTTATGAAAAACTGAAAGTTGGCTCAGACTGACTTAGTTTATAGATGCCCCAATTTAACTTAAAATTATTTAATATGTTATTCAGATTATCTTTGGTACTGGAGACTCATTGAAAGCCATAACCACCACAGCAAATGTTGCGTTCACAAGGGCAGCAGCTAGCCAGGTATGTTGGCGCATAACATAAATATTATGTTATTTGCCGGCTGGGAGGTCCGTATAGTGAAAAACTGTGACCGAGGTCTTGAGAATGCTGCCCGAGGCCGCAGGCCTCGGGTAGCATTTTCAAGCCTGAGGTCACAGTTTTTCACTATACGGACCGACCCTGAGCCGGCAAATAACAGGTTTTTTTTTCTTCCTGGAGTAAATTGGTTTTACAGATTACAATGGGTTTGTTTACGCAGCTCTTGTCATTGAATCGGCTTGCGCGCCGTCTGCTAACGATTTGTAAAAAATCTTGGCAGCGAGCAAGTAACTCAGACAGTAGACAAAGAAGGATGTATTAAAGAACATATTTTTTTCTAACTACCTTATGTTAGTTGCATTTATTTCACCCGTTAAGTTATCCAAAGCTGTTTTTGCGGTGTTAAATTTCGTGCGAAGTTTGAAATTTTACTACAAAAACAATTTCTCTCAGTCTTTGCTTTTTAAATCACTTGAAATCAGACTCTTCTACCGTAAATTGAATAGCACAAAGCGAGGAAATTCGTTAAGTGTATTCCACAGAAATTCTCCTAAATACAGCAACGATCAGAGAGGTAAACTCGACTGAAATTGACTCAGATTTTACGGCGAGAGAAACACAGGATTACGCGCCATTACAACGCCAAGCTACAGACAACCAAGCAAACTCTCACAACTTCAAAACACTCAATTGAATTTACTTACAGTGACTTTCCTTGCAGATAAACTTTCGTTGACTAATTGTCAAAAAGGCAAAAGATTGACGGTTACCGCTAACTTTTAGGAGCGAAATTTAGGTAGCGGGTGAAAAATCCGGCCCGTGGGCCGTATCGTAAAAAGCTGGACCGGTCACGTGCGTATCATTTACCAATCAAATTCGAGGATTTATTATTCCGGCCCGCTCAGATGCTCGAGAAAAAATAATAACCTCTTACTAACCGAGCGCGAGGGCCGTACTGGGAAATATTGTCCCGAGGTCGTGGCAGTACGACGAGGTCCGTTCAAAAACGACCGAGGGCCAATATTTCCCAGTACGGCTCGAGCTGGCTAGGTTAGTAAGTAGTTTATTATATGGCACTCGGGTCATGCTTGTTTTGAATTTGCCGGATTTCGAAAACAAAAAATACACAGCTTATGACAGTTTCCATGAAAACGGTCCGTATGGCGAAATCCCGACAAAGAAAGAACCAATTAGAACGCTCGGATTTACCTCAAGACTACCTTGCCATATGATAATAATGATTATCAGAACTACAATGCAATATTAAGGAGTTGATGAAAAAGCTTTTGTTTTGAGACTACTACTACTTGCAGAGGCCCCGTCCACACTACGCCGGAAAAAGTCCAAGACGGTATTTTCACTCTGAAAACATATCAAATTTTTTCCGCCCAGACTACGCCGGAGAAATTTGGAAACGCAACAATCACCGGTCATCGGCAAGAAGTTTGGAGAGCTCAAAAGAAGCGCAAGAGTTAATCAAGGCACAGTCGACAAAAACCCTTGCAATCTTAATCCCAAGTGCATCATAACGTGATGTGTTCAGCTAAAAGCAAGAATCAATTGTTTTATAACAGTGCCAGTGGAAATGGTGAAGCGAACTTTGCTCACACCATGAATGTGCACCATTGGATTATGATGCACACTAATATACTTAGTTAATAATGCATGCTTACGAGCTCTTTCAATAAATAAAATTAGTAACAGTATTGAGAATTTTCAGTAGAATTTTAGATGGGGCAAAGACATACCAGTTACATGTACAAGTATGGAAATATTAACATTATTCATGTTTACCTAAATGTTTGCATGTGACATGTACAAAGTTATATCGTGTACCAATTACACTGGTTGCCTATAAAGTACAATTAGCTACAAATGTTTGTTTCTCAGGGAGTTGAATTCAGTGTATTCATTCATGAATCACGTGCCTTGACTGAGTCAAAAGAATCCCGAGCCTCATTAGCATATTTTGAACAAGATGTCACGTGACGGCCAGTGACTGTGACGTGCATGTAAGAGTGGTTTGGATTCACTGTCAGAGAGGAGTGCAAGCTTGGACAAAGCTACTGGTCTACGGCTGAAATAAACGTCCTGCTGAGTTGCAGCTACTGTTATTACTTTAATGTAGTGGCTACTAACATTAAGATGTGTGTCAAGATCACATTGCCGTAAACTAACTATTTCAGTGCTGGTCAAAAGTAATAATTGGCACAGTCCTTCAAAACAGAGAAATAAAATTAATGACGTTTGCTCCACTCAGCAACAATGAAGTTTTAGTATATTATTTTGAGGCATCACTCTACCCCCAGGCAGTTGTTTGAAAACGATTTTAGGATGACCAAAATTGACATATAATAAGTGTTTTTGGGAAGGGGCTTACTTCTGCAGTAAGCCAATGAGACTAATGAAGCAAAGCGTAAACATGAGTGCTTTTTAAATTAAGGAGTTGCGAATAAGAGGTTACGAATTGCAGTTGCGAGCGAAATCCCGCCAGCCGCGCAGACTAGGATTTAAAGCTTAGTGTAGAGGCGCAAGGTGTTCGTAGTTTTAGCTCGTGTGTAAATACGGATTAGCTGGGGAATACAGCCTATGTGGAGGATTAGCTCTCTTACGATTCATCCTCTCAATACTCAGTAAAAAGTGAAAAAAGTTGAGCTGACAAATATTGCAGCAGTATAGATATGATCTTGCTTTTGCAGCGCGTGGGCCTTGTTTTAGAGCTCTGATACTTGGCGTACACTTTTGTGGTGGAAATTTTAGTTGGGGAAGAAATAACTCTCTCGGTGGGTCGGTCGGTCGGTCATTTAGTCAGTCAGTCAGTATTAGCAGAAATGTTGAGCAATTAGAACTTGACATATGATACAAGTTTTTTCGATTTCACACATGTATCCCGCCATTAATCTTAATTAATGTTACAATACCTCCTGTCCCTAAGTATATCCTCGTTAGCGGAAATTTAAAGCGTTTCTGTCTCAGTCTCTATTAGGCGTAGTTTAGACTACAGATATTTAACTGCATTGTTTTTGTGACGATGTAATCCGCCGTAGAAAAAAGGATGGCGATTGGTTCATTTACCCGTAACTCTTAGCGTACGGAAACTTAAACAACGCTCATAAAAACGTACAGGAACATTCTAAAACCTTCAAACCCTGCGTACACAATGTCGATAGCACATGGACAAATACTGCAAAAACATGGCTTTCCTTGTACTTTATGCGCTGTATTAGACTCGCATGGTATTGTGGTAAATGTACAGCCGCCATCTTTTTTCCTACGGAGGATTGAAATACCATTATTATTATTATTGTTTTTTTCGCTGCACACACGTCGGTATTTTGAGGAAGCTTACTTAGGGACGGACCATTAGAAAAGTGATGGAGCGGGGTGGGGATGTGGGGGAAAAACAAAAAACAACAAATAAAAATTATTCAAGGGAGGGTGACTGAAAAAAATCGGGCAAAGGAGAAGTGAAGAAAAAAAGTTCCTGCGGAGTGAATTGCACCGTCGGCCTTACTCGCCTGAAGGGCACCTTGGCAGCCACTTTCTACTGCAGTTTTAATTTCTTGGTACTGGTGTAATACCCATTTCACCTGGTTTTCTCTACAACTAGGAAAACGGACATCTTTCGATTTTAAGGCTGATACATTTTGTGCGCAGCAACCTCATCATGAACACTGCTAGCCAAACATCCTTGCAGAAAAATCCTTACGGATAACCATGGCTTAAAAGTGATAAAAAAGAACCATGTGCTATATTAAAACCAGCCATCCTGCTTGATTGGTTTGCAATTAAGCAAGCACATACCGTGTTTTGAGAGCCTCGACATATGAGTGATTTCACAACTGACATGTATAAATGACGATTGTGAACACAGATGTGCACACTGGCACGGTAAACCGTAACACCTCCCCTAAGATGGCCACTAAGATCAACGTTGGACAAATGTCGTAAACAAAGTTCAATAATGAATTCCCCAAAATATGATTATTTTTGTTTGAGTATTACAAAAACACACCGGCATTATAGTATAGATAAACCTATAGTTTTAATGCTAGTATGAAGGATCTGGTTCCTGCAAAGAGGTGACCTAGGCCTAGTCATAGTCCATTCATCAGTCCAAAAAGCCGCAAACATTTGGACAAATTAAATTTACATCAACGTCCCCGGCAAATCATTTGGTAAACTAAGGCCCAGTTCAGACGCCGAACTTTTCGTGAGCCGAACTTAATTCGAATTTGGACCGACCCAAATTGTCAAAAGTACGCTTGTTGATTCAGACGTCGACCTTAATTCACCGAACCAACACATCGAAAGGTCAGCGGTTTTCAGGCAAGGTGTATGCAGTAGGTCCGGCACAGGAGGGAGAGGTGAACACGTCAGATTTGACTGACCCTATGATCATGGCCATTATGACGTCACGGCGAAAGAAGCGCGCAAATGCTCAAAATTCTCGAAAATGGCGTCGTCGCCTCTCGCTGATATAACTTTTTGAGGCAGATTTCTCCAATCATTCCAGCTTCAAATGGTATTGTATTTGGATCTCAAGGAGTGATTATCATTTTTCTTTCTTTAGAGGTAAGT